CTCTCAAATACCTTTGAGAGTTTTCTCGCTCGTGTCCATTGATTACGCTAAAGCGATAGATTACCAATAAAGACATAAATCATACTATGATCTTGTTGGTAATTGAAATAATATATTTTTTGTTATAAATTACCATTAAAGCGCCACGAAATATGCCAAATAGTCACTTTTTTGTACCATGTGACCTAAGTTAGCCAATGAAATTCGTGAGTTTCGAACTGGCTACATCCTCCTCCAAGCTAGACTGGTAAATGTAATGCTCTTTGCTAAAATAATAATATTAATAACTAACAATGGCTGTCCACAGACAATGAAATATTTCCGTCAACAGCTTATCTATATTTTCAATATAAAATCTAGATCTAGATCTACTGTAGATCTATATCTGCATGTTACTAATCTTTCCATTTGCTCTGCACTTAGTTAGAGTCTTACTGTCTTCTTAGATCTACTAGAATAGATCTCTCTAGTAATACTAGTATCAATGCTTTACTCTCGAAAATGCAATATATTAATAAATATATATAATATGATATCTAGAGTTCTAAATTGGGCCCAACAGTAACAGTGGCAGGAGTAATAATTAGATCTAGAAAGGCTTGAACCCTAAAATCTAGATGTAGACTAGATCTAGACTTTGTGGCGAATGGTAGGGTTAGCATTGACATTATTAGCAATCCATGTGTGTATTTCAGTTAACTGCCAGTAACCTAACATTCCTTATTTAAGAAGAATCTATTATCTGACACTGCAAAAAATCCTCTAGTTTTTCCTTCTCTCAATGACTACTGCATCAACCATTTAAAAATTTAGGTTGAATTAGAAATGAGTAGTCAGTGTCAAGATACACAAGATAAAAACAGGTATTTAGGGCCTAGGCCTATCATAAGAGATCTTGCCCAGTTGTCAACAAAAGAAAGTTGTAAACCACTTAAAATATTTGCATTTTACTAATAAATAATCTTAGTAAAATAAATTGCATTAAATTTTGAACTAGTATTAGTGTAAAGTTTGTTAATTTGAAAAATACTAAACACTTGCCCTAGGAATGCAAGTAATACTCTGATAAGATTTCACTTGACTAAAATGCTTGTAAAATATGTTGAGTGGAATCTCTCAGTTGTTTTGTTACTTTTAACACATGGAGTTGTAGAGTTAATGTGTAGATGACAGCCAGCAGACAGAAACTCATCTAGTATTTATTTACCCTTGTTATGTGGCTTAAAAAGTAATTTTTTTAGCGCAATTTCCATACTGGCAATTGCGATTATTCGTTATTTCTGGATGGATGGATGGATGTGTGTCTGCAGCTTTAAGTCGTATCTCCTCCTCAATGAAGCAATATCGAGGACTAGTTCCAAAAGCAAATATGTTAAGCAAGTTCCGAGGATGTTTGTGGGACAAAAAAATTACCAGAATTCCTTCCTGGATTTCCTGGAAAAGCCAAAAAAACTCGAAAAAATGCAGTTTTTGCTCCATATCTCGGCAACCAGACCACTTAGCGACTTGAAACATTTACCAATCGATTCCTGCCATAATTTAGACCAATATTGCCGAAGAAAGTTTTCAAAAATATCATTTCGTTCGGTCACAAAAAAATTAATTAAGAACATTTAAACTGAGCGTCGTGTAGGTTTTTAGCGCAAAGCGGAGGTTCGAAAGGATATTACCATAGCGAATGAGCGGAGGTTTGAAAGGATTTTTTTTTCGACTGATATGGGAGGCTAGCCGTGACGTGGGATCGTTTGCGTCAATGCGCGCGGCGAGAGAGAGAGAGAGGCAAGCTATGCGTCGCTCATTTTTTTTCCACGTGATTTAAAATTGTTATGGATAACATAAGGAAATTGCTCTTAAATTGTCACTAGACTTTTTAATAACTTGTTTTTCTACACAAAGTAAAAAACCAAGTGAAATTAATTATTTTATATTTCTTATAATTAGGCCTACTAGTATAGAACAGTATTCTGACATTTTCAGGTGTACTGTGGTGACAGCTGTGCCATAGAACTGGGAACTCAGATACAGAGGGTTGGAGTTACAAGCAAGAGTTGTTTAACAAACATGGAGAATAATGAAGGTGATAATTAGCAACTTCCTTTAGTACATTTATCTCCTAGTCCTTATAGCTGATGTAGATGGTGTTCATGTCCACTGTTGTATCAGCATCATCACTTGTTACACTTTTTCCATTAGTACCTACTAAATCAGTCATCAATGTGTCCACTGAATCAGGCATCACTGTATCCCTTAGTCACCATTGTGTCCACTGAAATATGTAATGTTAAAGAAATATTTGTTGTTAGATTTTTTGAGAGATAATACATTGATGAAAAACCATTTATTTCAAGTAAAATAAATTATTTACATAATTAGCAATTTCATTTAGTACATGTATCTCTTAGTCCTTACTATTGATGTCGTTGATTTTCATGTCCACTGTTGAATAAGTAAGTCACCTGTCAACTGTATCAGCCCTCACTGTTTCCACTGTATAAGTTAGTCATCACTGTATCAGTTAGTCATCAATGTGTCTACTATATCACTGTGTCCAGTGTATTAGTCATCACTGTGTTCACTGTATCAGCTAGTTATAACTATGTTGGCTGTATCAACAGATAACAGTGTTACTATTTTATTCTATAAAGTTGTCTTAAAATTGTATGAAAACAAATAAATAAAATTGTATTACAGATATCTATCCATGTCAACATTGCAGTATGGCTTTTTCAAAAGTTTCTTATTTGAAAGCACATTTGCAATACAAACATGGTCAAGATAGAGCTGTCAATAGGAGTCTGGATGCCACTGATAATACAAGTCAACTCTCTTCCCAGGCATCAAACTTTCAACACCATATCATGTGTATAAAAGAAAAGCCTCACAAATGTGAAAACTGTGGTAAATGTTTCATGAACCATGCCTCATTAACAAAACATCTTAGAGCTCATACAGGAGAGAAGCCTTATTATTGTGGCTATTGTGGTAAATGTTTTACAACGGTTTCACATTTAAAGAGACACTTAAGAATTCATACAGGTGAAAAACCTTACAAGTGTGACAAATGTGGTAAATGTTACACTCAGGATGCTAGTTTACAAATCCACCAAAGAATTCATACTGGAGAAAAACCTTATAAGTGTGAAAAATGCGGTAAGTGTTTTAAAGAAAGTGGTTCTTTAATAACACACAATAGATCTCATTCAGGAGAAAAACCGTATAAGTGTATGAAATGTGGTACATGTTTCATTATTGAAAGCAATTTAAGGCAACACTTTAAAACTCATACAGGAGAAAAGCCTTACAAGTGTGACAAATGTGGTAAATGTTTCTCAAGGGATGGGAATTTTAAGAGACACTATAGAATCCATACATGAGATAAGCCGTACAAGTGTGCTGAATGTGGGAAAAGTTTCATAGAAGGGACAAGTTTAAAGATACACCTTAGCAGTCATACTAGCAAAAAATCCTACCAGTGTGACGAATGTGGTCAATGTTTGTTAAAGCTGAGCCACTTAAAGAAACACTTTATAATTCATATAGAAGACAAGCCTTACATGTGTGAGAAATGTGGTAAATTTTTTCACAAGCTTTGGGATTTACAGAGACACAGTTCTCGAATTCATAGTAGAACAAAACCTTATAAATGTGACAAATGTGATAGAAGTTTCACACTGCTTTGTGATGTACAGAAACACCTTGTAATTCATACAGGTGGAAATCCTCACAAGTGTGACAAATGTGATAAATGTTATTTAAAGGTTAGCTCCTTGAAAAAACATCAAGTAGTTCATACAATAGAAAGACCTCTTAAGAAGTGTGACAAATGTGGTAGATGTTTCAAACAGATTGGTGATTTACAGAGACACCTTAGTGTTCACACAGGAGAAAAGCCTCACAAGTGTCACAAATATGGTAAATGTTTCAGGCTTAATGCTACTTTAAAGATACACAATATAATTCATACAGGAAAAAAACCATATATGTGTGATCAGTGTGGTAATTGTTTCTCCCAGCTTTGCATTTTAACGAGGCACCTTAGAGTTCACACAGGAGAAAAGCCTTACATGTGTGACAACTGTGGTAAAAGCTTCAAACAGTTTTCACATCTGAAGAGCCATCACAGAGTTCATACAGGAGAAAAACCTTACATGTGTAAGAAATGTGGTAAATGTTTCAGTCAAAGTAATTTATTACAGTGCCATTTTAGAATTCATTCAGGAGAAAAACCTTACATGTGTAAGAAATGTGGTATATTTTTTGGTCAAGGTTGCCACTTAAGAAGACACCTTAGAACTCATACAGGTCTTGTATTTTCAGAACCACCTTAAAAAAACCATTCCACACTAGGAAAATTTTGCACATTTTTTTTAAGCTTTACCAATCACAGAATGACCTTAAAATTAAAGTGTGCTAAATGTGTTACAGCAAGTTATAGATTACAGAGACAGCTTGAAATTCAAAATAAACAAAAGCCTTACTAGTGTGCCACCTGTTTCAGATCCCACTTGTACAGAACTGCCATATAATTCATACAGGAGAAAAGCCTTACATGTGTGATCAATGTGGTAATTGTTTTATTCAGCTTTCCATTTTACAGCAACACCTTTGGATTTATATGGAGAAAAGCTTTATGTGTGCCCAATGTGGTCAATCTTTCATGCTAATCTCACATTTACAGAACCACTATCAAAAACAAAATCATTCCACTTTAGAAAAATTTGGTAACGGTGTTTAAAGCATTGCCAATTAAAAAAGGTACTCTAAAATTCAAGCAAGAGAAAATTCTTTTTAGTGAGATATATGTGGTAAATATTTTGCAGAAATTCATGGATTATAGAGACACCTTAGAATTTATAAAGAAGAAAAGGCATACAAGTGTAAGAAATGTGGTAAATGTTTTACAGAGTTTAGGGTATTGAAGATACACCATACAGTTCATATAGGAGAAAAACCTTTTATTTTTCTCATTTTTTGCAAATTAAAATCCCAAAAGTTCTAAAATGAGTAAAGCTCATCCACCAGAGTTGAAAAAGTATATGGAAAAGGTTTTAACATTGAAGCTGAATGGTAACAGAAAAGTATCAGGTACTCTCAGAGGCTTTGACCCTTTTATGAATCTTGTTGTTGTTGATGCTATTGAAGAAACAAAATCAGGAGAAAAGAGAAACATTGGAATGGTTGTCATTTGTAGTAACAGTCTTAAACTGTTGGAGTCTCAAGAAAGAATCTAATCAGTTCATCTATTTCTCCATTAACTTCATTTGTATAAATGTTCATCATCTCAACATGTATGGTTCAAATGTTTCATCCTTTATGCTGTATTGTGTATATATCTAACATAAAACAGCCTCTTCTGTTTGATCATGTATGAGAGGTTTCTTTTGCAAATTTTTGTTGTTATCAATTTCTTTTTAAAAAATAAAAAAATATCTATTTTAAAAAAAGGAAAAAAACCTTACATGTGTGACAAGTGTGGAAAATGTTTTCCAGCACATTATGGATAACAGATACACCTTAAAACTCATACAGAAGAAAAGCCTTACAAGTGTGATGATTGTCAGCTCCCTGATTTACAGAGCCAACATACAATCCATAAAGGAGAAAAAGCTTACATGTGTAGGAAATGTGGTACATTTTTGAGAGTGTGTGGTCAATTTAGGAGACACCTTAGAATTCATACTGGAGAAAAACCTAATATTTGATAAGTGTTTCAGACAATAGAATTCACACTTTAATACATATGGTAAATGTTTCCTTTGAAGTATTGTGTTACAAAACCATCTTAAAATTCATACAGGAGAAAAGACTTACAAATGTGGTAATTGTTAAATATTTTGCACTAACAGTTGTCTGAAAGAAACAGTTTTAACCATCAAAGAAAAAATGAGTTTGGTCCTTCTACATTTGTTTGAGATGTGTGACACTTTGTTTCATTGATCAGCACTGTTAATTGGATGGCCTGTTTTTTGTTAATTATTTTGTTAAAATTTGAATTTTTGTTTTAGAAATTTGAGTTCTTGTTATCTGTTACCATTAAATATTTAAATATCAAGGTCTTTCTTTGATATTTTTTTATTAATAGATCCAGCTTGTCTTTACTTACAACATCTGACCAATTTTCATCACATTTATAGGATTTTAGATCAAGGCAGAAGGGTAATTAACTTGTATCATTTTAATTAGAGGTGATGGATGGCGCCAACTTTGGTCATTGTTGATGAGGTTTTAAATCAAGCCAGAAGGGTAATTAAATTGTATGATATATGAGGAGATGGGTGGCACCTTTCCTTTAGTGCCAACAAAATGTCATCTTGCTTTCTCGATGATATAAGATTTAAATAAACTCCTCTAGATAACACCACCTAGAAGGTTGTCATACAGGTGCAGTAGAGGAGTACACGAGATGACACCAATTAGTCAAAAACAAACTTACTGTCTATATTCAAAGCACTTGTTGCATATTTATTCCTTTAAATTAGATTTTGATTTTCTTAGCTATAATTTAGCATAAACAAAAATAATATAGATCTACTTAAGAAGTTGTCATTTTCAAAATCGTTTCTCTCCTGTAAAATTTATTTGTAGGGTAATCCGGGGTTATTCCACACACTATATTACTGAATACTGCTCTCTATTTTAAAAGGGAGTAAATTTTAATTAAAAGTTACTATTCCATGTTTCTAAGAGGTCATTTACTGTACTTTCTGTTATTGTTAGAGAAGAGTTCATCTACAATAAGAGGAAGAATTTTTATTTTATCTGCATCTATCTTCAAACATCCTTAGGTAAGTACAACCCCTTCACTTTAAAAAATAGTTTATTTTGTCTTATTTTTAATTGTTGTCAATTATTTAGTGATTTTATGAAAGCTTACTCATTTATGATAAATGGTAACAATTAATGATGCATTGCTAGATTTAGCCGTTAATTTAGAACAGGAAAGCATATTTTTCTTAATAGTAGATGTGGGGCGATTCCACACCTATAGTGTGGGGCAATTCCATACACTATATTTTGGAATTTCCCATGTTGCTTTTTATACTCTTTAGAGGGTTTAGCTATTATTTTAAACCATTTAAACTGGTTGTGGCTAAGTCTGTAATTCACAACTCATGATTTAATTTTAAGAACTACTTAAATAGTAATAGATATAGTACTATTTATTTTTTTAAATGACTGCTATTAAAATTAAGTAAAATTGCCACAGACTTCTTTTATTTCTTTATCTATTATTATTTTTACTGCACCTATATTATTTATTATAATTTATGCAATATTTATAGCTAAACATCCCCCATGCATAAATTAGTAATTAGACTTTCTAACATTTAATTTTGTTCTCATTTCAGAATGATCCACAATTATAAACTAAAAACTTTGGCCTATGACAGATGAGAGCAGAATTCAGGAGGAAGAAATTGAGGCTTTCTCTTCATTTAGTGATGAAGAGTGGTTGCCTCCATGCAAAAAAGTTTCCATAGGGAAAAATGTCTTTTACAAATTTTAAAATATATGAATTTTTAAATGTTCATAATATGTGTGGAATTGCCCGACTTGCCATGTTTTTGTAATATTAAAAGTGGAATATTTAAAAATTGTATTCTGTTTTATGAATTATCTCTATATTTGTTTGCCATCATATAAGTAATGCATGTCTAGTTATACCCTCAATATTATTTTGTGGTAGTATTAATTTTAGATTTTTTACAATTTTTTTAGAAAAGTAGTGTATGGAATTACGCTGGGTTACCCATACATAACTTTTTCATGCTTTAACCAGAGGTGCTTTGTCCACAGTGGGGGTCTGACCAGCGCTCCTTTGTTTGAAAGATGCTTAGTCAACGTGTGGTTTTTACATGAATAACTATAAAGTGCTTAGTATTTAAAATAACACTATAATTAAACATAGTTTTATATGACAAGTTTCCTTTTAGTTTTAGTTCCCAAAAGTGAAATTTAAAATAGTACTTTGCATTCAAGAAATAAAAGTCACCACCTGCTTGTTTTCAGCCTACATAACGTGACCTGCCACACCTACTAGATTTATTATTTAACATAAAATTACCATAAGTAGGGTAGCATGTCCTTTACTTAAATTAAGGATGTAGATCTATTAGCAAGCATGTTGGCTGTATATTTTATTTGGCTGTATAATGAGTTCATAATAAAGGGTAGGAACAATAGATTCTGCCAGTGACAATGTCGTGAATGAACTGTCTGGTCTGGTAGCTTGATGTCTTTATGTTGGTGGAATGGTCATTTCCTTGACCACTGAGACTAACCTGGTAGTGGCTGCTGATAATGAAAAATTATAAATTACACTTTTAATAGGTAATTCTAAATTAAGCTTTTGGTTTAATATAACTTGAACTTTTCTTGAACTGTATTCGTATAAGATTATAAGGTCTATTGTATTCGAGTGAGTATTTAGTATTACGGTATGGATCTATAGATGGTGAATGCAGACAGTTGATTGAATATTTTAAAAATTGTGTGCAGTGCTATTAAAACAAATTTTAATTTAGAATATAGTTATAAAAACAGTATTGTTAGGGGTTGTTGTTTTATTTTACTAAAATTTGTAATAAAAGCGAAAAACAATTTTTAGAAAATTTTATCACTGAAAATGTAACAAACAAATTAATGTAGTCTTATTCGCAAAACTTCTCTGCATCTACAACTTTTATCGATTTTAAAAATATTAATTGTCGGAAATTGTTTCAAGCTAAATTTCTTTTTACTTCGGTCGCTATGACGCAAAATCGAAAAAATAACGTTTTTTTATCTATGTCAACAATAATAAAAAGAATCCAATCCATCTCGTCAAACTCTGCTGTCTTCTTGATTGGTTAGCTCTCAGCAAACGTTATTTTTACAAGAAATCGAGTCTATAAAATCACATAACCGATTAGTTAACAAATACTAGAATTTTAATCATTATAGATCTATTTTATATCTGCTTGATAATTTAAGATTTATATTGGTAGAAAATCCAAAAGGGTGTAGAACGAAATGTAGATCTAATATATATATATTTTTTTAATGGATGAAAAATTGTATTTTTAAATAACGATACCTAATGGAATCGGTCATCCAGCTTTCAAAAGTTCCGGTATGTTCATCATCTGAACTGTTCAAAATCCAACAATAATTACAATTTGTATTCATGCTATAGATCTAGAATCTAGATCTTAATCTAGATCTAGTATAAAATCCACATTTGAGGTTTTAGCCTTCAATGGCCTAGATCTAAAACAATCTGAATATTGAATAATAAATAAAACATTTATTGTTTGCCTTGCTTGCCACTTGGACTCACTTAGTGATCTCTCTTTCTCTTCTTGTGTAAGTCAAGGAGTCATCAAGTGTTGTGTGCTGTATGTGTTAAATTTTAGTTAAGTATTACTGTTAAGTTTTATAATTTTAATATTTATAAAGATTAAGGCATTAAAGATGATCTAATCTGTATTATGTTGGTATTATTATTATTATCTATCTTTTAATTCTTTATCTAGATGTTTATCTTATCCAGAATAATTAATTTTTTAGAATCTACTTCTAGATTCTAATAAACTAGTATATTTAGGAATCTTAGATGGTCAGCGTGGTTGAGTCGGTAAAGCTCATGGTTGCTCGGGCAGATGAGGCTCGTTAGCTGGGGACAGCCACTCTTCTAGGAGAGACAACTCCAAAATCAAACAACTGCTGCCTTGTTGTAGTTTGTTCTTGGTTGGACAAAGGCTATGGAAGCAAATCCAAAAAGAAAAGCAGGCTGAAATTGGAGTCAATGGCCTCAATGGCGCATAACCAGTTGACACGTAATCCTTAATTGTGATGGAAGCATGGTCGAGTCGGCAAAGCTCATGGTTGATAAATTCGAAAAAAAGGCTTGAGTTCAAACCCTCTAGCACAGGGGTCTCCAAACTATGGCCCTCGGGCCGCATCCGGCCCGCTATGTCCTCTCATCTGGCCCGTGGAGATCTAATTGTTCACGGAAAAAATGTTTGTTCGTGATGGCTGAGGAAGTTTGCCCAGAAAAATCAAAGACATGTCTGGCAGAAACTGTGGCCCCCGAACTGTATAGTTAATGCGGCCCTTGGACTGAAAATTTTGGAGACCCCTGCTCTAGCAGATAAGGCTCGATCCCTCCCAACACTAAAAATTAAGAACAAAGAAGAAGAAAGGAATCTTAGTATTGCTTGCTAACCTGGAGGCTGGAACAGTTGCTAACAACAATATGGCATCCACACCGGATATATTACTTCATATAATTTTTTTGTCTTAGTTTCGGTGACCACCTTCTTAAAATTACTTTTAAAATGTTTACCTTGAGCAAACTGGCAGATTTTGATGTTATAAAAACAAACTATAGGTGGCAGGGCTCAGTGGCATTGTAAGGTCTGGTGTCACCCTGTGCGGCACCTTATGGTGTCACCCCCACTCCACCCCAAAATATATATGTATATTAATGTCTGCAGATGCCTATATATAGTTGTAATTAGTGTCACCCCCACCCATTTCGCCTAATGGCCTAAATTTGTGTGCACATTATATCAATACAATTATTAATGCATGTAGAAAAAAGCATTGTTTTCAATGTAAATTATTAGATTTTGGTGTCACCCCCACCCCGGTAGTTGATTGACTTACTAGGTATTTAAAATATTCAACAAAACCTTTTTTCCTCTGTACTTTTTGTAGTTGGTGTCAACCCCAACCCCCCCCCCCCCCCTGTGATAGTTTTAACATGTTCACAGATAATAGTAAAGATGTTTATCTATAGTCAGTTGTTAAGACAGGTGGATTAACTTAAATTAATGATTAATTAACTGGCAAAATGCGCATTTCTTTTATATATTTTGCAATTTTTAGCCATGGTGTCACTGGTGCGGTCCGCCCCTCCCCTCGCGGCGCCTCTGGCAGGGCTATATATACCAGTAAAGCTTTTGAAAATTCGGTTTGAAGAATGAAGGCTAAATTTAAAAGTTGGTTTCATCAAAGTCAATAGAACTTATACAATATAAATGGACTAGGTACAAAAATGAACGAAAGTGAAGCATTTTAAGGTTTATCAGTCTGTGAAAAAAAGAAATAGAATATTTTGAGCTCAAATCACAACCAATTCTCGTTTTTAATTTTAAAAACCACTAGACCCTATTTCCTAAATGGCTAGGGATTGTTTTGTTGTTTCATTTTTGGTCAACAAGTAAAAGTGGCATTCTCAGATGAATCTTCTTCTTTGTTCTTAATTTTTAGTGTTGGAAGAAATCGGGCCTTATCTGCCAGAGGGTTTGCACTCGAGACTCAGATGGATAAATTTTCGCAAAATACTATTGTTTTAATATTAGCCTAGATAAATTGAATTTCATTCATGTAGTGCCTGAAATAAATAAGACTTCCTGGTTTTGAATTTTAAACTAATGAATAATAAGTACAATTTTTCAAATTAAATATTAATGGTTCTGCAAATATTGAATCTAGCATAATTTTTGTATTACTGAAAGTATATGTTTTTACACTATCCCAGTGGCGTAGCAATTTTGGGTGTCACCAGGTGAAGCACTTAATGGTGTCCCCACCCCACACCCCCCCCCCCCCCACACCCCGTAAAAAATGATATATGTATGTATATATACATTTACTAGGCATACTGCCTAGCTTCGCTTAGGTTTTCAAAAAACGTTTGATAATTTGAATGATTAAATATTTGGTGATTGGCTGTTATGTGGCCTAAGTTATAAAAGTAATTTCATGTTACGCAATCACTGGAAGAATATTCACACACTTATTACTCGCAAGGCTTTCTAAACAGTATAAATCTTAATATTATATTAAATTCACTTTGGCAATTAAATTTTACAAATTCATTAGAATACATAACTTAATTTATAATGAAAAATCTATTTAAACGAATGCTGAACTTTGTGATTTTTGTTTTCTCTTTGGAATAACAAAAGCAGTATTTAAAAATTATTACTTTAAAAAGTAGTTTCCCCTTTACATATACCAAATGACGTAGTCTTTGTTACTTTTTCACAAACAATGTGGTAATTGTTAAATATTTTGCACTAAGAGTTGTCTGAAAGAAACAGTTTTAACCATCAAAGAAAAAATGAGGTTGGTCCTTCTACATTTCTTTGAGATGTGTGACACTGTTAGTGTCATTGAACAGCACTGTTAATTGGATGGCTGTTTTTTTTTTTTTTAAATTTGAATTCTTGTTATAGAAATTTGAGTTCTTGTTATCTGTTAACATTAAATATTTAAATATCAAGGTCTTTCTTTGATATTTTTTTATTAATAGATCCAGCTTGTCTTTACTTATAGCATCTGACCAATTCTCATCACATTTACAGGATTTTAGATCAAGGCAGAAGGGTAATTAACTTGTATGATTTTAATTAGAGGTTATGGATGGTGCCAACTTTGGTCATTACGATGAGGTTTTAAATCAAGGCAGAAGGGTAATTA